GAATTCCTCCCAGATAATCTGAGAAAAAGAAGGAGGATTCAGGCTGTCAGATCTTCACAGCTGAGCCTGGGACTCAGAGGGCGGTGTTTATTTTTATCTTCCCCCCTCGAGACGGAGTCTCGCTCTGACACCCAGGCTGGAGTGCAGTGGCGCAACCTCAGCTCACTGCAACCTCCACCTCCTGAGTTCAAGCCATTCTCCTGCCTCAGCCTCCTGAGGATTATAGGCGTGCACCGCCACGCCCGGCTAATTTTTGTATTTTTAGTACAGATGGGCTTTCATCATGTTGGCCAGGCCGGTCTCGAACTCCTCACCTCGTGGTGATCCACTCGCCTCGGCCTCCCAAAGTGCTGGGATGACAGGCGTGAGCCACTGTGCCCAGCAAGGGTTTTTTCCTGGGGTAAAGATCTGAGACAGACCCACCCATGCAGCCTCATAGTCGACAATGAACAGGGTAGCCTTTGGAAGAGCTTGTGAGCGTGAGACCTGGGCAGGGTGCAGCAGGTGCTAAGGCCCTGGGGCCGGTGGAGCTCAGAGAAGGGAAGGTTGAAGCCTGAAGCTGTTATCCTGGCACCTCGATGTGGGGGACCCCTGGGGGTCAGTGGAAAGCGGGGGCTGGGGAGGAGGCTGGCGTGGGGGTGGAAGGTAACGGAATGGCAGATGGCTGGGTCTAGGACGGGGATGTGCAAGTGGCAACTGGAAGGCTGTTACCCATATGGCAGGAAAGAGGGCGCTGGGGGCAGCCCTGGGCTTGATCTGGAGTTCCCCATGGGAGGAAGACACAGCCCCTGAGGTGGAGAGAGGTGGCTGGGAGAGGGACGCCCCTGGGCTTTTGGGATGTGGGTCACACAGGTCCCTAACCCTTAGTCACCCTCCCTGGAGTCTTGCTGTTGAGTCTGTCTCTTTGCCTCTTTTCTCTGTCTCCCTCTCTGTCTCTCTTTCCTTCCCCTCTCACCATCTTCCACCCCCATCTCTGAGTCTCTCTCTATTTCCATCTTCCTGTGTGTCTGCCTCTGTTGGGGCTCAGTCTCTCTGTTTCTCTTTCATCTCTTGGTCTCTGTCTCGGATACCTGGCACCAGTGACATGTTCCTGTGACTCGGGGACTAGGCTACAATCCTCAGTTATTGAATCAAAGCCTGACTCAGGGACTGCTATGAAGGTGCTTTGTAGATGTGAAGTTCACAGTCAACTGATTCCCAGGAAAAAAGATTGGACTAGAGAATGTGGGTGGGCCTAATCTAATCAGTCGAAGGTCTAAAGGGGGAAGGGTGGGCCTTATCTAATTAATAAGCTGAAGGTCTAAAGGAGAAGGGTGGGCCTCATCTAATCAGTGAAAGGTCTAAAGGGGGAAGGGTGGGCATGGTCTAATCAGTTGAAGGTCTAAAGGGGCAGGGTGGGCCTCAATTAATCAGTTGAAGGTCTAAACGAGAGGGGTGGGCCTCATTTAATCAGTTGAAGGTCTAAGGGGGAAGGGTGGGCCTCATCTAATCAGTTGAAGGTTTAAAGGGGGAAGGTTGGGCCTCATCTAATAAGTCGAAAGTCTAAAGGGGAAGGGCGGGCCTCATCTAATTAATAAGCTGAAGGTCTAAACGAGAAGGGTAGGCCTCATCTAATCAGTCGAGGGTCAAAAGGGGAAGGGTGGGCGTCATCTAATCAATCGAACGTCTAAAGGGGGACCGGTGGGCCTCATCTAATCAGTTGAAGGTCTAAAAAGGGAAGGGCGGGCCTCATCTAATCAGTTGAAGTTCTAAAAGGGGAAGGGTGGGCCTCATCTAATCAGTTGAAGGCCTAAAGGGGAAGGGTGGGCATGTTCTAATCAGTCAAAGGTCTATAGAGAGAAGGGTGGGCCTCATCTAATCAAAGGTCTAAAGGGGAAGGGTGGGCCTCATCTAATCAGTTGAAGGTCTAAAGGGGGAAGGGTGGGTCTCGTGTAATCAGCTGAAGATCTAAAGGGGGAAGGGTGGGCCTCATCTAATCAGTTGAAGGTTTAAAGGGAGAAGGGTGGGCCTCATCTAATCAGTTGAAGGGCTAAAAGCGGGGAAGAGTAGGTCTCATGTAATCAGTTGAACGTCTAAAGGGGGACAGGTGGGCCTCATCTAATCAGTTGAAGGCCTAAAGGGGAAGGGGGCCATGGTCTAATCAGTCAAAGGTCTAAAGAGAGAAGGGTGGGCCTCATCTAATCAAAGGTCTAAAGGGGAAGGGTGGGCCTCATCTAATCAGTTGAAGGTCTAAAGGGGAAGGGTGGGCCTCATCTAATCAGTTGAAGGTCTAAAGGGGAAGGGTGGGCCTCATTTAATCAGTCGAAGGTCTAAAGGGGGAAGGGTGGCTCTCGTGTAATCAGCTGAAGGTCTAAAGGGGGAAGGTGGGCCTCATTTAATGAGTTGAAGGTTTAAAGGGGGAAGGGTGGGTCTCGTGTAATCAGTCGAAGGGCTAAGGGGGGAAGGGTAGGCCTCATCTAATCAGTTGAAGGTCTAAAGGGGGAAGGGTGGGCCTCATCTAATAAGTCAAAAGTCTGAAGGGGAAGGGCGGGCCTCATCTAATTAATAAGCTGAAGGTCTAAAGGAGAAGGATAGGCCTCATCTAATCAGTCAAAGGCCTTAAGGGGGAAGGGTGGGCCTCATCTAATCAGTTGAAGGTCTAAAGGGGCAAGGGCGGGCCTCATCTAATCAGTTGAAGGTCTAAAAGGGAAGGGTGGGCCTCATCTAATCAGTTGAAGGTCTAAAAGGGAAAAGTGGGTCTCATGTAATCAGTTGAAGGTCTAAAGGGGGAAGGGTGGGTCTCATCTACTCAGTCAAAGGTCTAAAGAGGGACAGGCGGGCCTCATCTAATCAGTTGAAGGTCTAAAAGGGAAGGGTGGGCCTCATCTAATCAGTTGAAGGTATAAAAGAGAAAAGTGGGTCTCATGTAATCAGTTGTAGGTCTAAAGGGGAAGGGTGGGTCTCATCTACTCAGTCAAAGGTCTAAAGGGGGACAAGTGGGCCTCATCTAATGAGTTGAAGGTCTAAAAGGGAAGGGTGGGTCTCATCTAATCAGTTGAAGGTCTAAATAGAAGGGCAGGCCTCATCTAATCAGTTGAAGGTCTAAAAAGGGAAGGGTGGGCCTCATCTAATCAGTTGAAGGTCTAAAGGGGGACAGGCGGGCCTTATCTAATAAGTCGAAGGTCTAAAGGGGAAGGGTGGGCCTCATCTAATTAATAAGCTGAAGATCTAAAGGAGAAGGATAGGCCTCATCTAATCAGTCGAGGGTCTAAAGGGGAAGGGTGGGCCTCATCTAATCAGTTGAAGGCCTAAAAGGGGAAAGGTGGGCCTCATCTAATCAGTCGAGGGTCTGAAGGGAAGGGTGGGCCTCATCTCATCAGTTGAAGGCCTAAAGGGTGGACGGGTGGGCCTCATCTAATCAGCTGAAGGTATATTGGGGAAGGGCGGGCCTCATCTAATCAGTCGAAGGTCTAAATGAGCAGGGTGGGCCTCATCTAACTCGTCCAAAGTCTAAAGGATCAAAACTGGGGTTCCCTGGACAAGAGTTTTATTTCCTTTTTAAAAATGACATCTCCTACTCTGAGAATGCAGGAAGGTTCTGCCTCTGGAATGCAGCATCAGCTCTGGCCTGACTTTCCAGCCTGCCGGCTTTTACCGCAACATGAGACGCAGTCCCTGAGCCAGAGAGAGGCGGGTGGGAGAGGACCGTTCATGGGGTTTCGGGGTGCACGTCATGCAGTTCCTTGCCCTTGTTCACCCTCTCTGGGCTCTCGCTGAGACCGGGTATCATTTCTCTGTCTTCCCTGTGTCTCTCGGTCTCTGTGTCTCTTTTCTCTGTCTCCCTCTCTGTCTCTTTCCTCCGTATGTCACTCTCTTCCACTCCCATCCGTTGGTCTCTCTTTGTGTGTGTCTCTCGCTCTCTCTCCGCTCTCCAAGTCCATCTATGCCTCTCTCTCTGTTTCTCTTTTTCTCTTTGTCCCTGTCTCTATCTGTCCCTCTCCCTCTCTCTCTGTTTTCTGTCTCTGCGTCTCTCTGTCTTTGTCTCTCTCCCCTCTCTGTGCCTCTGTTCCTCTCTGTCTCTCTCCTCTCCCTGCTGGGGTTGGTGGTGTTTTTGTTTGTTTGTTTTTGTTTTTTTGTTTGTTTCTTGATATAAAGTTTCGCTTTTGTCGCCCAGGTTGGAGTGCAGTGGTGTGATCTCGGCTCACTGCAACCTCCGCCTCCTGGGTTCAAGTGATTCTCCTGCCTCAGCCTCCCGAGTAGCTGGGATTACAGACACCCGCCACCACACCCAGCTAGTTTTTGTAATTTTAGTAGAGATGAGGTTTCTCCATGTTGGCCAGGCTGGTCTCGAACTCCCGACCTCAAGTGATCCGCCCACCTCGGCCTCCCAAATAGCTGGGATGACAGGTGTGAGCCACTGCGCCCGGGGAAGGGTGGGCCTGTTCTTTATGTTTGTCTGTCTCTGTTTCTCCATCTCTGTCTCTCTGATTGTCTTTTTCTCTTCGTATGTCTCTGTGTTCCTCTCTGCGTCTCTCTCTCTTTCCTTCTCCCTTTTCTCCCTCCCTCTCTCTGTTTCTCTCTCTGTGTGTCTGCCTTTGTTTCTCTGTCAGTCTGTCTGCCTGGACTTCCCTCTCTTTTGTGTCTCCTCATTCTCTTTGTTCCTCTCTCTCTCCTCTGTCTCTCTCCATCTTTCTCTGCCTCTGTCTCTTGTCTCTTTATTTCTGCCTCTCCTCTCTACCTTCTTTTTTCTTTTGAGACGGAGTCTCACTCCGTCACCCAGGCTGGAGTGCGGTGGCGCGATCTCGGCTCACTGCAACCTCCGCCTCCCGAGTTCAAGCCATTCTCCTGCCTGAGCCTCCCGGGTAGCTGGGATTACAGGCGCCACCTCGCCTGGCTAATTTTTTGTATTTTTAGCAGAGACACGGTTTCACCATGTTGGCCAGGCTGGTCTCGAACTTCTGACCTCACGTGTTCCACCTGCCTCAACCTCCCCAAGTGCTGGGATGACAGGCGTGAGCCACTGCGCCCAGCTCATCTCTACCATCTTCTCTTCCTTGTGTTGACCACCAGCCTGACTCAATTTCTCCTGATGGAGCTCACAGAGAGGACCCTGACTCCAACCCAGGAGAAGACCCTGATCCCGACCTGGGAGAAGTCCCAGGAGCGGGGTACAGATTCCAGCCACACCCGTGGCGAAGCTGGTGGAGAAGCAACACAGTCGACATTCAGAGGCCATGTCCCATCCTCCCCGTTCCCCGCTTTCCATCCCAGGTCACCGCTCCGCCTGCCCTCTACCTACCTCGTCTTCCACTTCATGGTTATCATTCAGTTTGTCTTTGATCTGTGGGACTGGCGGGAACAGTCTCTGTATCCTAAAGAACCTGAGACACAGAGAGAAAGTGTGAAGAGAACGCCAGGGTACCAGAGTTCCTTGCATCGACGCCGTGTGCCGAGGGATGCTGCGTGCGGGGTATCTGCGCTCAACTACGCAGAACAACTTCACTAAGAATCACCAGATGATGAAAATCTTTTGGAAGAGCATGGTTCCCTGGGGTTGGAAGGTGGTTACTCTGTTGTGTTTGTTTTGAGACGGAGTCTCGCTCTGTCGCCCAGGCTGGAGTGCGGTGTGGGCCCATCAGCTCCACTGCAAGCTCCGCCTCCTCCGGTGTCCAGCAATTCTTACTTCAGGCCTCCTGAGTAGCTGGGATTACAGGCGTGTGCCACCACGCCCGTCTAACTTTGTTATTTTTAGTAGAGACGGGGTTTCCCATGTTGGTCCAGGCTGGTCTCAAACTCCTGACCTCAAGGTGATCCTCCCATCTCAGCCTCCAAAGTGCTGGGATGACAGGCGTGGAGACACACGCGCTGGCCTAGTTCCTTAAGATGTTTGTCATTTGTTGATTTTGTGTTTTTGTTTTTTGAGACAGAGTCTTGCTCTGTTGCCCAGGCCAGGAGTGCAGTGGTGCAATCTCAGCTCACTGCAACCTCCACCTCCCGGGTTCAAGCGATTCTCCTACTTCAGCCCCCTGAGTTAGCTGGGACTACAGGAACGGTGCCACCACGTCCGGCTATTTTGTGATTTTCATACAGATGGGGTTTCCCCACGGTGGTCAGGCTGGTCTTCAAACTCCTGACCTCAGGTGATTCCTCCATCTCAGCCTCTCCAAAGTGTTGGGATGGACAGGCGCGGAGCCAACGTGGCCCGGCCTAGTTCGTTAAATTTTCATTTGTTGATTTTTGTTTTTTTTTTTTTTTTGGCGACAGAGTCTTGGCTCTGTCGCCCCGAGGCCAGAGTGGCAGTGGTGCAATCTCAGCTCACTGCAAGCTCCGCCTCTCGGTTCAAGCGATTCTCCTACTTCAGCCTCCTCAGTAGCTGGGATTACAGGAATGTGCCACACGCACAAACTAATTTTGTATTTTTAGTGGAGAAGGGGTTTCCCCATGTTGGGCCAGCTGGTCTCGAACTCCTGACCTCAGGTGATCCACCCACCTCAGCCTCCGAAAGTGCTGGGATGACAGGCATGAGCCAACGCGGCTGGCCTAGTTCCTAAGATTTTCATTCATTTGGTGATTCTTTGTGTG